CGATTGGGCCGGTCCCAGGAGACGCTGGAGCCGTACGGCGGCCAAGTCAAGAGCTCGTCGGGACACCCTCTCAAGATACGGGGATGGATCGGTCTCTCACTGCGACTGGGAACTGTGAAGGTCTCCCTTAGTGTGCTGGTAGCTGACAAGTTGCACGTCGACGCCATTTTGGGGGTGGTGGACGCCTTGAGTGCTTTTGGGGTGGTGATCGATGTCGCCGAACGAAGGATGACGCTCAAGGGTACCGGTGAAGAGCTACCGCTCGGGTACACGGTGGTGCAGGACGCCTACATGGCTCAGATGGCCGCCTCGATACGCCTGACTCCGCGAGGCCAAGCTCTAGTGATGGCCAACGTCGTCGGCGACGCTGCTGACAAGACTACGGTCCTGGTGGAAAGCACTGTTGGTCTCTCGCCTGCTCTGTGTGTCGCGCGGACCTTGTGCACGGTGGAAAACGGCCAGGTCCTAGTCGAGGTGTGCAATGCGTCGTCCGACGTGAGTTGGGTCAAGAAGGGCTCCACGGTCGCTTGTGTGTCTGTGATTCCCGAGTCGGCGTTTGGCCCTCTTTCGTCTTCCGTGCCGACCGGCGCGGCGGTCGGTTGACGGAGTCCCAAGAAGCGAAAGTGTCGTCGACCTCGGGGAACGTTGAGTTAGTGGAGCTCGAGAAGATCGAGCGCCCGGAGCCGAAGGTGCCGCCCGACAAGGAAGAGAAGGGCGAGGCGGACTTCTCACAGTCCAAGTTGACGGACGAACAGATTGAACTGTTCCGCGAGGAGCTGATCCGCTTCGACGACTTATTCGTCACGTCGTCCATGAAACCTGGGAGGACAGACCGACTCAAGTTTGAGATAGACACCGGGGATAATAAGCCCATAAAGCAGCCGCCCTACCGTGTGTCGATGGCAGAAGTAGAAGTGATGGAGGCTGAAGTGCAGCAATACCTGGATCTCGGGTTGAACAGGCCGTCGAACAGTCCGTGGGCTAGTCCCGTCCTGATGATCCGGAAGCCGGACGGAGGAATTCGCTTTTGTATTGATTACCGGAAGCTTAATGCTGTGACGGTGAAGGATTGCTATCCTATGCCACTGATTGACGATATCCTGGATGTATTAGGGGGTGCGCAGATCTTCTCTACGATGGACATCGCGTCCGGTTACTGGAACGTGCCGATGGACGAGGGAAGCGTGGCCAAGACGGCGTTCACGTGTAAGTTTGGCCTGTACGAGTGGCTGGTGATGCCGTTTGGACTCTGTAATGCGGTGCCGGCGCTCGAACGGTTGATGGAGACCGTCTTAGTGGACCTGAAGTGGCGAGTGTGCTTGGTGTACCTGGATGACTGTGTGATCTTCAGCAAGGATTTCCCTACGCACCTAGTGCGTGTCCGTCAGGTGCTGACGCGGTTCCGTGAGGCGGGATTCAAGCTCAAGATGAAGAAGTGTCATTGGGGGCGGAGTCAGGTGGCATTCTTGGGTCACATTGTGACGCCGGCCGGCATTCTGCCGAACCCTGAGAAAGTGAAAGCGGTGATGAACATCCGGCCGCCGAGGGACCTGCACGAGATTCGGTCGTTCTTGGGCCTGACGAGCTATTTCCGGAGGTACATCCCTGGATATGCGGCGATATCGGCGCCTCTGGAGAGACTGAAAGCGAAGGATGCTCTGTTCGAGTGGAACGAGGACTGCGAGGCTTCGTTTCGGCAGCTGAAGAGAGCTCTTATGAAGCCTCCTATCCTGGCCTATCCGGACGGCCGGAGGCGATTCAAGTTGTTTGTGGACTCCTCCCGGTACGCCGTCGGTGCTTGTCTGATGCAGGAAGTTGATGGCCGTGACCGTGTAGTGGCTTACGCCAGCAAGTTGTTGACCGGTTCGCAGAAAAATTGGATTAACAACCAGGATGGGATTTCGGAGATTGAGTGCTGGGGCGTCGTCTGGGCGACGCGTGAGTTTCGAAGTTATCTCGACAAGCGCGAGTTCGACGTGTACACGGACCACCAAGCGCTAACGTGGGTCTTCAGTCCCGGCAATCGGACTTCGAACGCTAAACTGGCCCGGTGGGCCATGGAGCTGTCGAGTCTGCGGTTCAAGGTACACCATAAGCCCGGTACGGCTATGGGGCATGTGGACGGTCTCTCTCGGCTACCAGTGGGCAAAGTGGCGGTGCTGACTATGAACGACCTACTGAATCCGGACGACGACGACGTGTATCCGTCTTCAGTCGGGGAGCATTCGAGTCCCGAGGCGGACGAAGAAGTGGAATACGCCGACAGAGCTGCTGGCGACCCGGCCGATGGGCACGTTGACGACCCTGGGCCGGTTGGATTACGCGAGGATCCTGTCAGAGAAGAAGTCGGACCGGTCGCCCCGTCACCCGTCGACCAGTTTAGCCTTGATCGTGAACAGTTCGTGAATGAACAGTTAGAGGTGCCGTGGATCAAGGCGCTGGTGGCCTTCTTGCTGGACGGAGCGTTGCCGCTGGATCCGTACCTGCGAGCGCGAGTGGTGCGGATGGGACCCAGGTACTCCGTCCAAGAAGGGATGCTCTTGCGTCGCGTAAACTTGCCCGCTCGAGCCGGCCCTGCTCGCTCGGTCTCAGTCCCCGTCGTGCCCTTGACATACGTGGAAACGGTGCTGCATTTCTGTCACAAGGACGTGCTGTCGTCTCACATGGGACTGACGAAGACGACGGAGAATGTTAGACGGCATGCCTTTTGGCCAGGCTGGACGAAAGATGTTGAAGAGTACGTCCGCACCTGCAGCGAGTGTGGCGGCGGGAAAGGACCGCGACCGTGGCGTTCTGGACTCATGCAGCGCATGCCGGTGGCTGACCTGACTGGTCCGTTCTCACTGCTAGTGGTCGATGCTATAGGACCTTTGCCCTTGACTGGGAGAGTCACCGGTACATCCTCGTGTTCGTAGACTACTTCACGGCGGTGGGCGGAAGCCTTTGCAGGTA